CCACATCTGGTCTTCCCAGACCCTGCATTCACTATATTCGGTCTCCCCGGACCCTGCATTCACTATATCTGGTCTCCCCGGACTCTGCATTCACTATATCTGGTCTCCCACAGTATACACAACATGGAAATGCAATTATTTTAGTAAATATAAACTGCTAAACACCCTTTGTCATCAGCAATATATAGCAGTCTTGTGACTTTTATCAGTGTCCAGCAGAGCACTGATTAAAGCCTGTAGGAGAAGTTTCTTTCTGCTCTAGGACAATGCAGAACCCCTGTCCTCTGTCTGGACAGTGCTGATTGGTCCTGTGCTGATCACATGCACTCTCCCAAAGAAAAAAAAACTCTCAAGCCATATACAATAAACTGAGCATGCACAGCTTGCCCCTAGGGCTCTGTTCTATCAGCAGATGGATTGGGGACAGTAGAAGAAGGGGAGGATCAGAGAAGACAGGATCAAACAGCGTTTTTACACAATGCAGAGAATTAACCCCTTAGGTTCCACAGTGAGTATAACAAGCATGCTTTACTGCTTATACAGATAGGCAGCACAGTGGCTAAATGGTTAGTACTTCTGCCTGGCAGTACTCGAGTCACTGGTTTGAACCCCAACCACGGCACCACCTACCTGGAGTTTGCATGTTCTCCCTGTGCCTGCGTGGGTTTCCTCCAGGTACTCCAGTTTCCTCCCAGACTCCAAAGGCATGCTGGTTGGTGAATTAGATCCTGTCTATATTGTCCCTAGTATGTGTATGGATGAATGTGCATTAGGGACCTTAGACTGTACGCCCCTCGGGGGTTAGGGACCTTAGATTGTACGCCCCTTGAGGGTTAGGGACCTTAGACTGTACGCCCCTTGAGGGTTAGGGACCTTAGATTGGGTTAGGGACCTTAGATTGTACACCCCTTGAGGGTTAGGGACCTTAGATTGTACGCCCCTTGAGGGTTAGGGACCTTAGATTGTACGCCCCTTGAGGGTTAGGGACCTTAGATTGTACGCCCCTTGAGGGTTAGAGACCTTAGATTGTACGCCCCTTGAGGGTTAGGGACTGATGTGAATGTACAATATATGTGTAAATTGACGGCCCTATATAAGTACCTGAAATAAATAATCATGTTACTGTTGTGGGCTTCGTAACACTTTAACCAATTTTCAGGCCTCAAATTATTTTATTTCTTTTTAAACGTGTGCAAACAAATACAAAAAACAGTTTTGGCAATGAAAGGGTTAATGCCAACACCTTGATTAGCTCCCAGTGCTGCTTATTCTTCTCGCAGTCTGAGCTCTGCTGTACAGGTGATGGCAAGAAGCTGAAACTCAATCAAATTCTGGTATGAATGTAACGATGCCTTCATGAACGCAGAGCCACTTTCTGTATCAGTTGTAACTGTATTACATTGTATCGTATTGTATCATATTGTATCATAATGTATTATATTGTATTGTACCATATTGTATTGTATTTCATTGTATTGTATCGTATTGTATTGTATTGTATCATATTGTATTGTATTGTATTGTACCATATTGTATTGTATTGTATTTGTATTGTATTGTATTGTATTGTATTGTATTGTACCATATTGTATTGTATTGTATTGTACCATATTGTATTGTATTGTATTGTATCATATTGTATTGTATTGTACCATATTGTATTGTAATATTGTATCATATTGTATCGTATTGTATCGTATTGTCTTGTATCATATCGTATTATATCATTGTATTGTATTGTATTCCATTGTATTATATCATATTGTATTGTATCGTATTGCATCGTATTGTATTGTATTGTATCATATTATATCGTATTATATCATATTGTATTGTCTTGTAGTGTATTGTATCATATTATATCGTATTATATCATATTGTAGTCTTGTATGTATTGTATCATATTGTATCGTATTTTATCGGATCGTATTGTATCATATTGTATTGTACTCTATCATATTGCATTGTATTCTATTGTATTGTATCAAATTGTATCGTATTGTATCATATTGTATTGTATTGTATTGTATAATATCGTATTGTATCGTATTGTATTGTATTGTGTTGTATTTTATTTTATCGTATTGTATCATATTGCATTGTATCATATTGTATCGTATTGTATTGCATCATATTGTATCGTATTGTATTTTTTTGTATCATATTGTATTGTATCGTATCATATTGTATTGTATTGTATCATATTGTATTGTATTGTATTGCATCATATTGTATCGTATTGTATTGTATCGTATTGTTTTGTATCATATTGTATTGTATCGTATCATATTGTATTGTATTATCATATTGTATTGCATCATTTTGTCATTTTGTATTGTATTGTATCATATTGTATCGTATCATATTGTTTCGTATTGTATTGTATCATATTGTATTGTATTGTATCATATTGTATTGTATTGTATCGTATCGTATTGTATCATATTGCATTGTATCATATTGTATCATGTTGTATTGTATTGTATGGTATTGTATCGTATCATATTGTATTGTATCATATTGTATTGTATTGTATCATATTGTATCGTATTGTATTGTATCATATTGTATTGTATCGTATCGTATCGTATTGTATCGTATTGTATAGTATCATATTGTATCATATTGTATCGTATTGTATTGTATCATATTGTATCGTATTGTATTGTATTTCTTTGTAATCTTTCATTTTCCACAGGAAGTCAGCAGACGGGAGGGAAGAATGAAAAAAATGACAATAAAGATAACAATTAGAGCATTGCTGAGGAATGTCTGATGGTCTGCCAAGAATTCAAATAACATGTTTTTCTGTAGAGGTATTCCATGGAACAAAGAAAGGAGGTCATCCGCGGTCACGGCGCGCAGTGTAAAACCAGCAGACTGCTGTAACGGCACGGTGGGGGGGGGGTGCGGCCCCTGGCGGAGTCTGACTGTAGAGTGGCGGAATTGAATCAAAACAAAAACATAGACGGTTTGTACAGATTATTTTCAAGCGCGGCCCAGACAGACAACGGAACACTGCGTGACTCCGGGCGACAAGTGACAAGCCATCCAGTGAACTTCTTTATGCTCTACAGAAACTCTACTGAACCCACTGCAAGCAGATTAAGCAACATTTTCACAGTGCTTCCAAGCAAGATTTAAAGAACATGTAAACAAAACATTTCCTATTCCTGATCTGTGCCTGCTGTACCCTGTACTTGTATGACAAAGTCTCCTGTTCTCTTTGTATTGCTTCCTTTTTGTGAATTCCCCGGTGTTCCTGCCAGTCCCTCTGCTTTCCTATTAAAAACTGACCACACTAGGTATGAGGTCAGTTCTCTAGCTGCACTGGAAACTCAGCCTGCTCTCCTCCAGTGATCAGACTTGTGCTGACACCCCCATCCATCCCTGCACAGCCATGCACAGGGAAGTTCAGTGTACTGTTGTCCCCCCCAATACTCTGAGCTCCTTATGCAGCTGAGAATAGAAATTATGTGATCACTTAAAAAAAAGGGGGGGGGGATTTATAATTTTTATATATATATATCTAGACAAATGTTTTGCCTTTCATTTATATTTCAACTGAACAGGTTGTTTTACAAGGGATCACATATACTTTGGCACCATAAATTGTACTTATGTCCATACTAGACATGAGCAGTTTGCTTTGTTTCAAATCAAAATTCATATAAAATTTTCATTGTTTAGAGGTTAGCCCGGGTTCACATATATGAGGTGCGGTATATCGCATGTGATTCACACGGAACCGCACCGCAGTCCTGGGCAAATCACATGCGATTTGTGTGCGGTGCGATTGGAGCCGTACATTTTGTATGGCTCTATTCACACCACACCCGCACCAGAAAGGTGCAGAACCCCTTTTTTGGTCCGCACTAGAATTGGATCGCACGGGTATTCACACCTATGCGATCCGATTATTCACATCGCATCGCGTATTGCGGACCGCTTTCGGGTTTTGCTAACTTAACATATACACCCGCAGCGGTTTGCATGAATGGGGTGCGATTGAGATGCGGTGCGGAATTGGCACAGGAAATACGGCGAAATTCTGCACCGCATCAGTGTGAACCCGGGCTTAGATGTATTTAAATTTCTGAATTACAATAGTAATGAATATTACCAAAAGTATTGGTTGGCCGGCCTTTCCACGCACATGACCTTTAATGGCCACCCAGTCTGAGTCCGTAGGGTTCAATATTGAGTTGGCCCCGCCCTTTCCACGCACATGAACTTTAATGGCTCCCCAGTCTTAGTCCGTAGGGTTCAATATTGAGTTGGCTCCGCCCTTAGCAGCTATAACAGCTTCAACTCTTCTGGGAAGGCCGTCCACAAGGTTTAGGAGGGTGTCTATGGGAAGGTTGGACCATTCTTCCAGAAGCACATTTGTCAGGTCAGGCACTGATGTCGGGGGAGGAGGCCTGGCTCACAGTCTGTGCTCTAATTCATCCCAAAGGTGTTCTATGGGGTTGAGGTCAGGACTCTGTGCAGGCCAGTCAAGTTCCTCCACCCCAAACTGGCTCCTCCATGTCTTTATGGAACTTGCTTTGTGCACTGGTGTGCAGTCATGTTGGAACAGGAAAGGGCCATCCCCAAACTCTTCCCACAAACAGGCACTAGAAGAGGAAGATGTGGGATGGTGATGATGTCATCACTCACTGACACATTGCAAATGTGATGGTTGTCCAGCTGGCCTGGTCATACTCACACAGATACAAGACATCAGAGTCTGATTACCTTTGTCTGCAGGCGCAGCTCCGCCTCCGCTGGGAAGAGAAGGGCTGGAACTCCACAGTGATCAGCAGCTGCCAGCCAGCTTACAGTAAGGGACTGAGTCTGAGAGGAACACTGGCAGGAGTGGCAGTTCAACTGCTACACTGGCCCCAGACACCCGGCATATTCCTGTCCTTTTATTCCTCCCCTCTGCCGCCCCTCCCCTCAGCTGAAGGATCATTCATGACTTGGCAGCATCCCACACAGAGAGTGCTGACCTGCGCTGTGCCCAGGCACCCCTAGGTGGCAGTGTGCTCTAGGCGGCCGCTTAGTTTGCCAGTGCAGTGTTTCTCAACCTTTTTTCAGTCAAGGCACCCTTCCAAATTCTGGACAGTCCTGAGGCACCCTTTAAAATTCTGGACAGTCCTGAGGCACCCTTTTAAATTATGGACAGTCCCGAGGCACCCTTTAAAATTATGGACAGTCCAGAGGCACCCGTTAAAATTATGGACAATCCAGAGGCACCCTTTAAAATTATGGACAGTCCAGAGGCACCCTTTAAAATTATGGACAGTCCTGAGGCACCCTTTAAAATTATGGACAGTCCAGAGGCACCCCATTCTAAAATGTGAAAAACTATTCTAATTGTTTTATATACTCAGCAACATCCACACATGTAGGACACCCAATGTAAGAGGTGATTTATTCTTCTGAAGAAAATACACTTTTGCACACTGGTACTGACTAGTATTCCAATGTTTCTCCTCTCCCTCAGTTTTTCTCTATCACTGAGCTAATGTGACCCCAGCACTGACAGAGAGGGGCAAGGGATGATCAAACTAGGATGCCTCCTTATCAATTGATGATGTCATTGGTTGTCAAGACGCTGGCATAATGGTGCACAATGGAAACCTGTGGCTTTGCGTAACTAAAAGGCAGGATTGTTCCACCCGCTGGCCTGTATACAAGTCTTGGGCAATTTTTATACATTTTACCACGGCACCCCTGAAGAAACCTCAAGGCACCCTGGTTGAGAAAGGCTGGCCTAGTGGAAGCACCAGCCCTGCCTACCAGTATGTCCTTGGGTGTGGGAAGGAACCCCCTCAAGCACAGGGAGAGTGTGCAAACTCCATGCAGTTGAAGTCCTGGTTGGGGTATTAATCCAGGGCCCCAGTGCTGCAAGGTAGGAGTACCAGCCACAAAGCCACTCTGTTTTTCACAGCACAACCTTTGCGTTTCCACTAGAGAGAGACAACTTAAAGCTGCATTATTTGTATGGCTACATGTGGTTTGCACAGGAGTTCATCTTCAGTGTGATTATTTTTAGGAAGCCACAGACAGAAATCTAAAAATAAGTCCAGGTTCAAGGATTTACTGAGCCAAACAATTATCTTGTTTCCTTACTACACAATACAGAAATACAGTTGTGACCAAAATTATTCAACCCCCAATGCTGTAAAGGGGTTTAGGGACTATAGTGTACATTTGGAATTGTATTCAGAATCAAATCCTACAAGGACGTTGTAACTACCCAAATGCAACTAAAATGACATCAATTGTTTATGTAATACAGTAGTAAATGGTTCTTATGTGGTTTCTTCATTGCCACAATTATTCAACCCCTTAAAGACTACCACTCTGAAGAACAGAGGTTCATACAGGTGCTTTCCATCAGGTATTGAAAACACCTGTGGATGTCACCGAGCAGCAATCAAGCATAATAAGCACCAATTAGGCAGCTTTAAAATGACTGTGATACTCAGCTCCTTCTAGACATTTACTGGTGTGGTTACAAACATGGTGAAGGCAAGAGAATGGTCCAGGAAGACAAGAGAAGAGGTGATTTCTCTTCACAGGAAGGGCAATGGCTATAAGAAGATTGCAAAGATGTTAAACATACCAAGAGACACCCTTAGGAAGCATCATTCGCAAATTCAAGGCAAAGGGCACTGTTGAAACGCTACCTGGTCGTGGCAGAAAGAAGATGCTGACTTCGACTGCTGTGCGCTACCTGAAGCGTAGAGTGGAGAGAAGTCCCCGTGTGACTGCTGAGGAACTGAGAAAAGATTTGTCAGATGTGGGTACAGAAGTTTCAGCCCAGACAATAAGACGCACACTGCGTAATGAAGGCCTCCGTGCCAGAACTCCCAGGCGTACCCCCTTGCTGTCTCCAAAGAATAAGAAGAGTCGACTGCAGTATGCCAAAAGCCATGTGGACAAACCACAAAAGTTGTGGGATAGTGTTCTGTGGACTGATGAAACAAAATTAGAACTGTTTGGGCCCATGGATCAACGCTATGTTTGGAGGAGGAAGAACAAGGCCTATGATGAAAAGAACACCTTGCCTACTGTGAAGCATGGTGGAGGGTCAATCATGCTTTGGGGCTGTTTTGCTTCTGCAGGTACAGGGAAGCTTCAGCGTGTGCAAGGTACCATGAATTCTCTTCAGTACCAGGAGATATTGGATGGAAACGTGATGCAGTCCGTCACACACCTGAGGCTTGGGAGACGTTGGACCTTTCAACAGGACAATGATCCCAAGCATACCTCCAAGTCCACTAGAGCATGGTTGCAGAGGAAAGGCTGGAACATTTTGGAGTGGCCATCGCAGTCACCAGACTTAAATCCGATTGAGAACCTCTGGTGGGACTTAAAGAAAGCAGTTGCAGTGCGCAAGCCTAAGAATGTGACTGAACTGGAGGCCTTTGCCCATGAAGAATGGGCGAAGATACCCGTAGATCGCTGCAAGACACTTGTGTCAAGCTATGCTTCACGTTTAAAAGCTGTTATAACTGTAAAAGGATGCTGTACTAAGTACTAAGATTGAATGTCACTTGGGGGTTGAATAAAACTGATAATGCTGTGAGCACAGAAAAGACATTTGTGGTTATTTCATTATAACTGTTATGTTATATTTGTCTGACCTACAAGTGCCTCTTTAATGTAAATGTAAGCAAGATGACTGAATGATCAAAAGCAATGTCAAACTGGCCAAAACACTCAATTTCAGTGGGGGTTGAATAATTTTGGTCACAACTGTAGCAGCTTCTGTCTTCGTTGGCAAAGAAACTGGGGCAGGGAGTAGAGCCCTTCCGAGGGAGAGGCCGCGTCTGAGCGCAGATAATACCACACTTAACCCCGGCGCCACTATCCGAGGATGTTGTCAATTAACAGGCTACTTTCAAATGTGTGTCATGTACGGGGAACAGATATATTCACCTTTTGCATATGTGAAAAAAATCTGTTTTTTATGATTACAGTCAAACTGTTACAAGCCTTGGCACATTCAGTAACATCAGTAGATCCAGATGTAGAGGAAGCTGAAGTTACGAGCAAATCTTGACTTTTTCTGCAGGCTGAGCATGGTGCAGTCTTGTCCCACCTCCCACCATGTCACATATTATATTATATTATATTATATTATAGAACCAATAGGTGGGGACCAGTACATTGGAGAGGATGGGTGGTTTAGCTCAGCTTTTTCCGGAAAAAGTTGAGATCTGTATATAACTTCAGCTGCCTCTATGTACGCATCAACTGATCACTCTGACAAGCAGTTTTTTTCACATTCATCTTTTATCCCATTCCCAGTCTGAATTGCACTGGTTTCTGACAGGCAGGGGCGGACTGACCATTTTGGAAATTCGGGCACTGCCCGAGGGCCGGGGGCCAGTAGGGGGCCCCATGAGGTGCCCCTGGTACCTTTTTCATAGGCTTTTTTGAGTTTGGGCAAAAACACAGGGGCCCCAAGACCCCCTATTGCCCGGGGGCCCCATGAGTTGTCAGTCCGCCCCTGCTGACAGTTTATGTTAAATGCCTACTGGTGTGACATATGTGGGGCGAACTGTTAGAATGTAGATAAGGAGGGGGGTAGGGGGGTCAAAACCCCTCCAGAGCATCCATGGCACTGCAGCTACCTGACTGTCTTTTCAGTCTGAATTGCACAGGTTTGCGGAAGGTTAATGTTAAATGCCTACTGGTGTGACATATGCAGGGGCGCATTTACCGCAAGGCAAACAAGGCATTTGCCTAGGGTGGCATTTTTTAAAGGGGGTGGCACCGCCCCCCAGCAAAAGTGACACGTGACAGCTGGTGACTGAGAATGGGGAGCAGGTGAGGCACAGGCACAGCAGTGCCGGCTGATGGAGGGTGTCCGACTCTCGTTCCCAGATCATTGTCAGAGATCCGTGCAGAAGGATTTTGGGATTTCCAGATTATGGCTCCAGTTGTGGCCAATGAATGCTGGAATCTCTCTCTCCCAGAACCATCCATGTTGGGGGGGGGCGATTTTATTCTTGCCTAGGGCGGAAAACACCACTGGACATATGTGTGGCGAACTGTAGGGGTGTAGATAAGGAGGGGGGTAGGGGGGTCCAAACTCCTCCAGAGTATCCGCAGCACCACAGCTAACTGACACTTTGACAGCAGAAGCACTGCAGCTGCCGCTCATGCCACCTGTCAGAATTCAGCGACAGTTCAGAGGGATGGAAGCATACTTAGCTCCTCCTGGGCTCATGTCACATGACACAGTTGAGGGAGGACTTCATCTCAATCTGAAAAGCCTGATCTGGTAAGTGGATTTCATGGAGGGTGGAGAGCTGAAAGGGGGTGTGATCTGTACTGGGGGGAGAGCTGAACTGGTGAGGGGGAGTGATCTGTACTGGGGGAGAGCTGAACTGGTGAGGGGGAGTGATCTGTACTGGGGAGAGCTGAACTGGGGAGAGGGAGTAATCTGTACTGGGGAAGAGCTGAACTGGGGAGAGGGAGTGATCTGTACTGGGGGAGAGCTGAACTGGTAAGGGGAGTGATCAGTACTGGGGGAGAGCTGAACTGATGAGGGGGAGTGATCTGTACTGGGGGAGAGCTGAACTGGTGAGGGGGAGTGATCTGTACTGGGGGAGAGCTGAACTGATGAGGGGGAGTGATCTGTACTGGGGGAGAGCTGAACTGGGGAGGGGTAGTGATCTGTACTGGGGGATAGCTGAACTGGTGACGGGGACTGATCTGTACTGGGGGAGAGCTGAACTAGTGAGGAGGAGTGATCTGTACTGGGGAGAGAGCTGAACTGGTGAGGGGGAGTGATCTGTACTGGGGGACAGCTGAACTGGGGAGAGGGAGTGATCTGTACTGGGGAAGAGCTTAACTGGTAAGGGGGAGTGATCTGTACTGGGGGAGAGCTGAACTGGTGAGGGGAGTGATCTGTACTAAGGGAGAGCTGAACTGGTGAGGGGGAGTGATCTGTACTGGCAGAGAGCTGAACTGGGGAGAGGGAGTCATCTGTACTGGGGGAGAGCTGAACTGGTGAGGGGGAGTGATCTGTACTGGGGGAGAGCTGAACTGGTGAGGGGGAGTGATCTGTACTAAGGGAGAGCTGAACTGCTGAGGGGGAGTGATCTGTACTGGGGGAGAGCTAAACTGGGGAGAGGGAGTGATCTGTACTGGGGGAGAGCTGAACTCGTGAGGGGAGTGATCTGTACTAAGGGAGAGCTGAACTGGTGAGGGGGAGTGATCTGTACTGGGGGAGAGCTGAACTGGGGAGAGGGAGTGATCTGTACTGGGGAGAGCTGAACTGGTGAGGGGGAGTGATCTGTACTGGGGGAGAGCTGAACTGATGAGGGGGAGTGATCTGTACTGGGGGA